TTTTTTCGGAAGAGAAATAACAAGGGATGCAGGAAAGTCTCAGATTCAGTTTACTTACAACGAAAACGCGATTTTACGCTTTTTGTTTCTCCAATAATTATCTCTGCTTTGAATCGCTTTACCCTAAACTTCAAGACTGTGTTAATTTATGCATGCACTAATGCCTCTCAGAACAGTATAAAAAATAAGTAATTGGATTATATGACCGACGCATAATTACTTGTTAACAAACAGTTATAAAAAGAAACCAGAAAACAATAAGAACAAAAAGTATTAACTAACGGGCATGTGGTTAGTAAAGAAATGTGGAGGTGAAAGTATGACAGCGCTTATCAATACGAGTTATATAAAAATTAAGTTTAATTAGTGATAAGTAGGAAAAAGGGATTACGAAGTAAGATAGAGGGCTTACTTTCTGCTAGAAGCGGCAAGAGAATCTGAGAAAGTGGGATAAATATGAAACAGAACTGTTGGTAATTTGATCAAATCCACTCAATGATGCCTTATACTCATTATGTAATTACCAGCTTTGATCCAAAATAAAATTTCGATTTGACCGAGATGTGAGGTGAGCTCGCTTCTTTTGAGAAAGATTTTTTTGGCTCAAGTAGTATAGTGGTTAGTACTCCACGTTGTGGCCGCGGCGACACAGGTTCGATTCCTGTCTTGGGCATTTTTGCTTGGCAGGAGCTTACTGAAGATACTTGGACTTTCCCATTCAGATAATACTCAATATTCAGCTTCTTTCAAAATAATCTATTTTGGCCCAAGTAGTATAGTCGTTAGTACTCCACGTTGTGGCCGTGGCGGCACAGGTTCGATTCCTGTCTTGAGCATTTTTGCTTGGCAGGGGCTTTTTGAAAAGGATTGCACGTATGTTGAGAACAACGCTTACTTCTCCATCCATATAATTTTCAATATTCATTCGAATAATCTATTTTGGCCCAAGTAGTATAGTGATTAGTACTCCACGTTGTGGCCGTGGCGACACAGGTTCGATTCATGTCTTGGGCATTACCTGGCTCAAGCTAGGAACCGAGCTAGAGATTACCACACTTACGTTTCCCCTGCCTAACCTTAAAATTCA